GCTGTTGTAGCCCATCCACCTCAAGGTTGTGCGTGTTGTGGCTTCACAAATGCTTTGCTGCATACCTCGGTTGTAACGAGTGGTTATTTCAGACAAAGTTGCTCTTCTATCAGCTTGAATCAGTCGGCCCATTCTCCTCTGACCTCTAGCATCAACAAGGCATTTTCGCCCACAGGACTGCCGCATACTGGATGTTTTTCCCTTTTCACACCATTCTTTGTAAACCCTAGAAATGGTTGTGCGTGAAAAGCTCAGTAACTGAGCAGATTGTGAATACTCAGACAGGCCCGTCTGGCACCAACAACCATGCCACGCTCAAAATTGCTTAAATCACCTTTCTTTCCCATTCTGATATTCATTTTGGAGTTCAGGAGATTTAGGCATAGGTGGCAGAGACATTAGCCGTGGGACTAATTGACCTTCCTTGTGCATCAATCCCATTTCATCCACTGGAGGAAGATCAGGATGTGGCAGGTGAGCTTGGTTCCAGATTGTCTCTTGATAGTGTGAACGCATGAAATGAAACGTAACTGCAACTGAGGTTGGAGGCAGAGTCTCTTGTGGACGACCTTGGCAAAACAACTTCACTCTTGCTTTGTTGCATGTATCAACCTCGGGCACACGTCTGTGTGAACCTCCAGATAGTGACCAGCACTTGGATCTGAAGTCACCCATTCGAAAGAACAAAGCCAAAACATTAGCCTCTTTGTATGAAGTCATGCAACTTTCCAAGAACAAGCAAAACATCATCAAAGTAGACAGGCAGATTCTACAAAGGCTCATCACAGCTTACAGAGCAGTTCGCAAGGTAGACCTGGAAAATCTTCTCCAGCATGAACTCATGCCCATCCTGCCATCTCTGGCCGCAACTAACGGCAGTCTACATTCCACCAACGAATCTGTTTTAGCAAATATACTGACAAAACATATCCAAACCCCTGCAGATGTGCCGCTTCAGGAACCCAGCTACTTTCTTATTGATGGCCAAGCACTTGTAATGGCAGCCGCCTGACATCACAACATTCGGCAACTATGCCAACAAGTTTGCTGACACAGTGTTGAAGATGGCAGAGAAGTACCAGAGGGTTGATGTAGTCTTCGACAGGTACCATGACAAATCCATCAAAACAGGCACAAGAAAGAAGCGTAAACAGCGCCACCGACCAGTACGCAGAGAGATCGTGAATGACTCTGTTCCACTTCCAGCAGACTGGTCGAGCTTCAGGGCACTGGAAGAGAACAAAGCAGATCTCGTTTGACTACTCTCAAACCATCTAGAATATAAGCCAGTGGTTGTAGTATCAGGTGGGTTTGCTGAAGCGACCACTGTCAAGTCATCAGATCCAGAACTTGAAATCTCCTCTCTGAGTGCTGACCATGAGGAGGCTGATACACGACTGATTTTGCACTGCATCCAGGCTCCTATGGACACAATAGTCATGTCAGCGCGTGACACAGATGTGCTTCTTCTACTTCTAGCACATCATGACAGAATTGGATGTATCCATCTCTACATGAAAGCCGGGACATCAAAGAATCCAAAGTATTTTCCAGTACATGACATTCACAAGTTACTCTCTGATGATCAAGTGGACACACTCCTTACCTTCCATGCCATCACTGGTTCAGTTCAGCGGTCACGAAAAGAAAACAGCCTGGCTAGGTGTTCGAGCAACATCACACCGATCTTACTGGCCTTGGGAAGGGCCCTCTCACAGAAGATATTGTGAATTCAACAGAGAAATTCATCTGTAAGATGTATGGTGTGCCCGAGGTTGATACATGCAACAAAGCAAGAGTGAAGTTGTTTTGCAAAGGTCGTCCACAAGAGACTCTGCCTCCAACCTCAGATGCAGTTAAGTTTCATTTCATGCGTTCACACTATCAAGCGACAATCTGAAACCAAGCTCACCTGCCACATCCTGATCTTCCTCCAGTGGATGAAATGGGATGGATGCACAAGGAAGGTCAATTAGTGCCACGGCTAATGTCTCTGCCATCTATGCCTAAAGCCTGCAGGGAGTTCGCTTCATGTGGGTGTACCACGGGATGGCTCAGCCAACGCTGCAACTGCAGGTATGCGTTTAGGCAGAGCCGGCTCTCCCTATAAGCGAACTAAGCGGCTGCTTAGGGCCCCGCCGCCACTAGGGGGCCCCCTAACTACAGATGGTAGTCGCCGGGTAGTACCCCAGAGTGTAGTCTGGACGATGGGGTGGGGCGACACTTTTAGACGGGGCGACACGTGCCATGTCATGCAGAGCTCCTTAATTTTACATCATTCGTTTATGCTTCTTCGTTTTTCCATTAGGATCAGTGAATAAACACAAACTCGGGATTTTACACAAATTATGATAATTCCCTGTATTTCAGTAAAACAAAGGATAAATCCGAAAGTGTGTTTCATTTTATTTTAAAGCAAAACCACGGTGACAAATAAGACAGGCTACCAAATAGCAAGCCCTGGCCATTGGGTTATGTGCGTACAATGGGAATAAAATCCATGCAGCGCTGCAATGTGAAAATAAGTTTTTTGTAAAAAAATGTTTGTTTTTTTTGTTTTTTTTACTAAAACAGATGTTATGTCGATCTATAGCAAATATTATAATGTATAGGCTATGTGCTCAAGAGCGTATTTTATTTATTTTATTACAGCCTATTATAATTGCACAGATTTATAGCAGTGTGTTTTTTTTATGGTTATGCAGCTAGCCTATATGTGAGTGTTAATATTTGTAACCATTTTCATCCAGTAGCCTACATGAACATGAACACGCAATGCGATGGTGGATGAATGAACAATTGGATTTTTAATATACCTGATGTCACAGTCACAGATAGACAGTTTAACCGGTTGACACTTATTAGCAAACATGAATCTTTAAAAAATTTAACATAGGGCTTTACAGAACCAATAGGCCCTCATATATATTGTATGAACAGGTAATCAACCAGGAAACGTGTTTGCCATTAAACATTTTATTTGCACTTTGTACCAATTAAATAATGCAAGCATTGGACAATCTCGTTAAAAAAAATGACAACAAAAAACGGTCATGCTTTAGAATTTAAAATCAGCTGCTTACATTCTTACAGTCAATTATCATCATTTGCGTAAAATCCCGAGTTTGTCTGATCCACCGATCCTGATAGAAATATGAAGAAGCCAAGTGAATGACGCACTAATCTAATGTAAAACATCTCCCTGAAGTACAAGTAACGTCACCGACACCAAGCGTTCGTTTTTAAACAATAACTTAATCTATACTGTGTCTTAAGTATAATAAAGTATTAGCCAATAGATATGAACAAAAATTACCATGGTAAACTGATAATAAGATACGATTAAAGTTAGCATTTTATATTTCTTTGATACGGCCAAATCATTCACAAAATCGTACATAAAGGAATGCGCATGCTCAGACCTGAATCGTTTACACCAATAAGACTGCGGTATTATAAACCAATTAAATTGGGCATTTTGGGACAATTTTTAGCTTCATATACAGCAGATTTGGATTCAGCACCCCTTAATACCCCCTTGAAATGTTGTATAATATAAATAATCACAAAATGCCCCCAGTAAGCACATTTTCAGAAATTCTGCCTAGACTAAGGTCAACAGCCACGAAGAGGAAGAGGAGTAAGAATGTGTGGTGGAATGGTATGGAAGAAAAACAGTGGAAGAGGTAGAAGAGGCCACGATTGTAGACTTCGAGGCTTCTGGTCATTCCTAGGATACCTAAGTCCACTAAAGGAGGGAGGGCGTTCTCATATTTAGCTCCTAAACTCTGGAATAGCCTTCCTGATACTGTTCGTTGCTCAGACTCGCTGTCCCAGTTTAAAACTAGATTAAAGACGCATCTCTTTAGCCAAGCATTCACCTAATGCTTACCTTTTATACCACTGTTGAATCAGATCGAATGCATTAATATTATGAACAGCAGCTACCCTAATTATTTCCCATCTGCTTTTCTGCTGTTATCTCGGGACACTAGTCCCGAGGTAAATAGCGTTCGTCAGCTCCAGTTTGTATCCAGCCTCTCACGGAGACTTCAGATGCCCCAACACCTGCGATGAGACGACTCGACGCCTGTGAAGAGACGACTTAACGCCGGCGATATGTTATGCCCTAAATTAATACATGATGATTAACTAACTGTACTTTTCTATGTACATTTCTGAAATGCACTTTCTGTAAAGCTGCTTTGAAACAATATGTATTGTGAAAAGTGCTATACAAATAAATTTGAATTGAATTGAACTTGTTTCTGATGAAACAAGGGCCACTATTGTGGACCATGTTCTTAGTCATGATCTTATGGCCGAAGCGGCTCAAAAGGTACAGCCGAATGTTGGGAGCACACTGTGTCCTCAATCATTCACTACTGAAATATAGCATTATTTGTTGCATAATTTGTTGACAGACCAACAGTAAGAATTTAACTGAATCCTGTCCATGCAGTCTCTTGCAATCAATATCTCACATTTTCGATCATTGTCATCAAAATCGTAGCCATAGTTTACATCTGAAAATACTGACAGAGTACACTGTTATATTGACAACCTGACTAAGCATTTTGACTATCTTGTTTGTGAACAATGACACAAGGACTTGTCATTCTGATGGCACTGATATGTTCATTCATTGACATAAATACTTACTTTTGAGTTAACTATGGATTTTGAGTAAGTTACAGGCTTTTGCAGGTAATCCATTGTGTGGTGCTGTTTGTACGAATTGTTTTGAGAAATGCACTAAAAGGTTTGCAAATCTTAAGAATGATTCAAGAAATGTACCAAAGCGACTAAGAAAAACTAATATATGTTTAGATAAAACATTAATCTTATTAAGCACTTAATCAAACATTAATTACTGCTTTAGGTTTTCAAATCTCTTGAAACATCATTATCTCAAAATATATTTTACAACGCACTGAGCATTGAGAAAGAAGCAACAAAAATATTATTGTATCTTTATATAAAGGGCTGTATTTCTTTTTGGGGAAGTAATGTAATAAATCTTGACCTGAGTGGCCAATACTTTAAGTGTAATATGCTCCAATAGCCAGTGGATTATGGTCAGTTATGGATTTTTCTTGTGAAAAAGGCATATTTGCTAAACAAGCTGTGTGAATCCTGTTTCTGTATAATATGACATTATCTAAGATCGATTAGTTATGAACTAATCTCTTTTGCTTACTATGCAGAGATTCTGCTAGACAGGAGCAGTTACATTCATAGTGATGAATGGTGGCCATTTGACCCACTTTTACATATCTCCAGATACACGACTGAAATTCTAAAGACCCCGGCTGTGTCTTAAAATCGAATGACCTGCCTTGCTATAGGAAGAACACATTAGTACTTGTACATTTAGTGTTTATTGTGATAACAAAGAATGCTCACTTTGCAGTGCACACAGATGCTATCCAGACTTTTTTTTAATCTGCATTAGTGTTATATGGCATCAGGAAATATAGCCTAAACTTTCATCCCAAATTTTTTGTCTGCTCCTTCAACCGCCAGGCAGCATCCATGTATTTAGTGATTTCAGAGTTCTGCCGTGGAAAGTTTAATCTTCTGTCACTGCGATCTGAGACAAGCTGAAGTGTTGCACAAAAGAGCTGATTAGTAGGACGATTATGAAAGATGTTTTCAATTTTATACTGTACAGCTGATGGTTAAAGTACATACATACTGTAATCTTGGATACTATAATATGCAAATTGGGAGTAAATCCACTATGGGGTTTGCAAATGTAAAATAAAGTCAATTACAAAAAAAAAAAAAAATGGTTACACTTTAGATTAGGGTGCAATTCTCACTATTAACTAAATATTAACAACAGCTTTTGCCTCAAACTCCTTATTACTGCTTATTAATAGTTAGTAAAGTAGTTGTTAAGTTTAGGTATTAGGTGGGATGTAGAATAAGGTCATGCAGAATAAGGCATCAATATGTGCTTTCTAAGTACTAATAAACAGTCAATATATAGTAATATGCATGCTAATAAGCAGTTAGTTTATGTAGTGAGAATTAGACCCTGAACTAAAGTGTAACCAAGGTTATTTAGCAGTTAGATTTAGAATCAAAAGATTTATTAAAATAAGCATTTTATTTTATTTTTATGTATAGCTAAATAAATAAATAGGTAACACTTTAAATGTCCCATTTGTTAATGTTAGTTAAATATTAACTAACAATGAGCAATACATTTGTTACAGTATTTATTCATCTTTGTTAATGTTAGTTAATAAAAATACTGGTACAAATGTTCATGTTAGTTTATGTTAGCTTAGGTCTATTAAATAATATTAACACATTGATTCATGCTAACAAATGTAAACTAATGGAACCATATTTAAAGTGTTACCAATAAATACATCTAAATTGTATCCTAAATGTTAATATACAATCTAAATATCTTGAGCTAAACAATTAGAGAACATAATGACTCTTTATAGATAGATAGATAGATAGATAGATAGATAGATAGATAGATAGATAGATAGATAGATAGATAGATAAGAACTTACTAAAGGAGTGGATATCCATCCTATCTCTTGTGCTTCAGTCTGAGGGTGAGAGTACTTCTTTGCTGGCTCCAGACGGGCCCCGTGTATGGCCTGAAGGAAAGCAGCTGTACAAAAAGATTGTGTCAATACACATACATGTGAAAGATTAGATGGGTATCATGGGTTCACTCCTCCCGAAATTACGTTGTGAACTTCACTTAGAGTTTAGAATTTAAATGGCAGGGACGAATCGTATGTGAATGTATGGTTATATTTTGTGGCTCTAACATAACTGTAACGTTAGTTTTGGCGGCAACTCGGCTAAGTTACATTAAATTCTGCTAGCTGCTACGTCAAATGTAGTTGAAATACATACGGTCTTCCTCTTCCTTTCTGTAGGTGATGTTGGACATGGGTTTGTCAGTCAAAATGTGCACTGAAAAAACAAAGAGGCTCTTTTAAATATTTAGTCAGAGTTAACAGAGAGACGTGTAACGTTAAGTTAAAGCTCTGCACTCACGTTTCTTGAAGGGGTTGATGTTAAACTCAGTGTAAAGCTTATGGGTTCTCAGCTCCTTCATTATTGTCTCGACATGAATAGCATTCTGGTGAACTATGTCCACGGGCTCTTTTTCTTTAGGATTTGCCATGTTGACCAAAGTGTTATAAATTATTTTTCAGTTGCTAATGTTTGCTGGTATGATCACCGAGTCACTTCCAGCAGCTTCACTCGTCTTCTCTAAGAATTGTGTTGCTTGGCAACCGTAAATAAAGCGCTAAAATGCTATAATATGTTTTCTCCACACGAGGGCGCTCAAAGCACAGCAATTAGCTTGCAACAGAAGTTCAACAAATGAATTGTACTTTCTGTCCTAATGTATTTCAATGGTAGCTAATGCAAGGCAGTTATTATATTACTCCAACAGGGACCATTATCTACTTGTGATTGATGAATGAATGAATGAATGAATGAATCAATTAATTAATTAATTAATTAATTAATAAAAAAACGTTTTTTAAAGTGCTGTTTAATGCGCAAAATTTGTTGTGGTATAAGAACCAACAATATACTAAATTAATCATATTTTGTAGAAAATAAATAAATAAATCTTTGGCAATATTTAAATATTCAGAAAAATATCCAGAAAATACAAAATTATTAATATTTTTTTAATATTGGTAATTTAAAGTGTCCATCGTATGCACACTTAAGAATCTCGCCAGAAGTAGTAGGTCATCCGGGTAGCCTACTTTTTGCCTACATGACAGTGAATTTGGACATTTTTGTCACATACTGTTTTTCACCTACTATATAGGGCCTAGTAGGGAAGTATGTGATTTCGGATGCAACCGAGGTGGTCGGAAGCCTTTGACTTAAACTGCTCAGAAGAGCGGGCGCCATCCTGCAATGAACGAAAGCTAAAAAGTGCTGAGCTTGTCTGTGAGGGAGAGCTGAGAAATACATCTAATATGTTTCTATAATTCACGCGTGCAACTAATTTAATGTTTTATATATTTTTAAATATTTTATATCACGAAAAATGTAGTATCCTGCGGATATGTGTTTGCTCACATGTTTGCTCTTGTTTCTAAATAGGCTACATAAAATGGTGCAATTATTAGCATTTTGCTCTTTGATATTGTGTCTCTTGGAGGATTAAAATTCATTCGTACAGTCAAAACGCTAGCGATTAATTTTGTTGCATCACAACCACATGTAATGTACCATTGTTGTGAACTTTTTTTTTAAATCTATTTGTATGTTTTACCATTTTATTAACTTTTTTTGTTTTACACCTAACCTAAGTTTTACTTCATTTAAAAAATGCTTGCTGAATTGTTCCTATGGAGGCTTAAGAACGTGAGAAAGTTTCCAGCACATCTAACCATGAGTCCATGCTATGTCTGTGACTAGCAGTCATCCATAACCACGATCTGTGCCAAAATACAAACACACTCGCTCAAGGCCTATTGTCTACACGCACACCATGATAATTCTCTATCTCATACACAAAGGGATAATGTGAATGCGTATGTGAGTGTTTGTTCAGGTGTGAGGAAGTGTATGTTGAGGTTCAGATAAACGCTCCTACCATCATTCTTTGTCGCCCATCTTCAGCTAAAATGATGCTTTATTCCCTCAGTCACACAGGCAGAGAGGGAGCAGCCGCAAAATCTCGATCTGCTAGAGCTAGATAAACCCCAGGAGTCATACACCACTGATGGCACTGATTACACTGAATACACTCGCCATCACTGGAGACGCCACCTGGTCATGGGAAACTCTTGAAAAATCAGATTGGCACTGCTTTTTAAGTGTTCCCTCAGCCGGATCAACGTTTCAGCAACATGTTCTCTGTTTATAGGGCCATGTAAAGGATTCAGGGTGAAAAATGAGACCATGTACCTAAAAGAATACAACCCTGAGAGCCCAAGTCTCTCCTGAATCTCTGTGTTTAGTCTTTAAAAGGAAATTGGGCTAGATTGGTTTGATATAAGGACATATTGCAGACTGCAAGCAGTGGCTGTTTTGAATTCATCCTGAGTTTGCTCCCAAATGATCATTATAGAATGAATAACATCAGGTCTAATCACGCTGGATTTATTTTGATCTATTTTCCACAAACCCAAATCAATTCCCAATACTAATTGTCACCTGCAGCCTATGCCGATGCATGTAAAGTGAGCTTAGTAAAATGTTTAAGGGGGAACACATTAAATAGCTTTAATTAAACAGCTTGACATGTTAAATAGTTTGAACTTAAATAGCTTGAGTTAAATTGTTCTGAAATCTAGGAGAAGCACAGACCGAGCGGTTGACCGTCCAGAGAAGATTAACTGCCTGAAGAGAAATACTGTCTCATTTCTGGCTGTTTGCAGAACAACTAAAAGGAATATGCAACACAAGCCAAAGTCTTTTGCTTGGACTTCACCTCCTTTAATTTAATATACTGTAGGTGTTTTTTCTTTCTGTCAGATTATTATCCTTATCAATTAATAATTAATATTCATTATATACAGGTGAAACTCGAAAAATGAATATCGTGCAAAAGTTCATTTATTTCAGTAATTCAACTTAAAAGGTGAAACTAATATATTATATAGACTCATTACATGCAGATATTTCAAGCCTTTATTTGTTATAAATTTGATTAGTATGGCTTACAGCTTATGAAAACCCCAAATTCAAAATTAGAATATTGTGAAAAGGTTTTCATAGCTGTAAGCCATAATCATCCAAATTATAACAAATAAAGGCTTGAAATATCTCACTTTGCATGTAATGAGTCTATATAATATATTAGTTTCACCTTTTAAGTTGAATTACTGAAATAAATGAACTTTTGCACGATATTCAAATTTTTCAAGTTTCACCTAATGTGAAGATGTACCCCACTTAACACAAATTTGTAATGATTAGCATCTAATAAGAAATAATTTCTAAGAAAATTCCCATGTCCCCAATCATGTTTTTTCAAGTTCACTTTGAAATAAAGGTTACATGTTTATAATTTAGCAATTTTAAGTATTATATGCATTTATCTATTCTCTTTGACATAATAATATACAATTTATTGTGACACATTTTTGTGTGAAAAGCATTAAATTAGTTTTTGTCCCTTAAAATTCCAGTCCGCCCTGTTACATTAGTGCTATTTGCCCTTTAAAATCTTAAGCATATGCCCAAATCACATGACTTAGAAGTGACATCATTTGAGGGAAAGCAACTCAAGAACCAGTCATTCAATTTTCTCTCTTTTCCTCAGTTATAGGTGACTTAACTGTAGCGTAAAACATAACATGTCCACCCTGTCAATTTATACTGGATGTGAAAATGTTTGTTTATTTTTTTTTAAATTGATTTTATGTATCTAAATGTTGATCTTCTTCTAGCATGTTGTTCTTTCCTAGCTTATTAGCGTAAAACATACACTCTGCTATGGTCCATTACACATTGCATTATGGATATGGCATGCAACAGGGTGGATTATAAATGTGAAATGCAAAATATTTGGTCAGGATTATTAGGTTATACTAGCCTGAGTTTGACCAGTGTGTTTTTATAATAGACAGAGATATTCTTCCTCTGACAAGACTAAAAAATAACCTTCTCAGTCCAAAATGCACCAAACTGTATAGGAATGACCCATAGACATAACAATTTTATATACATTTTCTTTATTCATTCAGTTATGTTACATCAGTTATGTTATTTTATGAGTAATACAAAATGTAATCTTCACAAGGACTGACAGAGGATCTTCATTTTGGATTCTTCTAAAAAGAGAATAAATACACTTTATGCTTGCTTTATTTTTTGCAACATGATCACCTGCAGTTATTAGTTTGACATTTGTTAAATTAACTGCATTGACTTACATTGGCACTTGATGTGTTCTGTTATCTGATTGGCAAAAATACTGTCTGGTCTTCACAAGCTTATCAAGTGTCTGCACTCCTCTGTCATCGCCCATAGACAGCTAAACATAGAAACACACACTTCTCTTTGTTGTCACTGCTAATAGCAATTTCAGCGAGTATGTCACATAAAACATGTGTTCCTGCTTTTCCTCTATCCCCCTGGCCTTATAACATAACAAGCGTTATTACTGTAACTGTCCAGAGGAATAAGGAGAGGGTAAGGCAAATACAGAAACAGCTTGCTGCTTGTCTCACATTCTTTCCTCAAGTGGCTTTTGTTTGGGAAAAGGATCTATCACATGGGGATTCACAATGGAATTTGTCATGAGTGGGATCTGAGCAGTCCTGACAGGTGAGAGAGAGGAAAGAGCCGTAGAGCGGGTTACTTTGATTACTTAAAGAGCATTTGATCAACTATAGCGTGCTCTCTGTGGCCGCTGTGCTCTGTCTTCTGCGTGAGAGAGTTTCCAGAGTTCCCTCATTAGGACTCCTTATCAGACAGCAGTGTCTTAATGGGATTTTGATGGCGGTAAATGTCAGTGGGCACAGTACATGGCAAACTGAGCAGGCTTATTGTCCCTGTAGCTTTATTGGTCATTTTATAGGCAGCTATGACATCAACTTCAGGTCATTTATATCTAGGCCTATCAATTTTTTGTAGGTGGCTCTGATATCTACTTTCAGTCATTCATATCTATCTATCTATCTATCTATCTATCTATCTATCTATCTATCTATCTATCTATCTATCTATCTATCTATCTATCTATCTATCTATCTATCTATCTATCTATCTATCTATCTATCTATCTATCTATTCGTCCATCCATATCAGTTTCTTTTTTTATGTTTTAAAGATTAATTTCCTTGGAATAAGATCAGGCTATATAAACTGTCTCATTTGTCTTAAGAAACAGCAGAAATCAGAACAGGCATTCCCTCCTTTCTGAGGTGATGAGCCAGCTAAATGTCAGATCTGTCTTCAACTACCACTTACTACTTGGCGACAAAAGACGGATTGGATTTCTTTGGAGAGGCCAGGTTGTGTTTGCAGAGTATCATTTGGGAGTTGGGCCTGTTTGGGCTTATGTCCAGGGTAGGTGGTGGGAGTAAAGAGGCTGTTTGGGTGTCTTGTGAGTATGACAGATATTAAGGAACCAGTCCAAAGCCGAGGATCAGTGTTATCATCAGTTCATTTTTCCACTTGTTTCCCTGGAATGCTGGTAGTGGCTGAAAATTCTTAACTGACAAATGGACAATTATATACAATCAACTCAACATCAGA